TATTTATTTATGCTCTTCACATGTGGCAGTGTTTTTAAATATTTATGATGCACAGGAGGTATACAGTGTAATAACTGCTTGATATTCTTATATTTTTTGTAAGAAATAGGCATAGCATCGTGATACAAATGCACCAGGCGATTTTTTCAAATTCTGACTGATCTTTCCGGACATGTAGGTGTGATAAATTTTAAGTATTACATTCTGTGTCTTTCATCAACATTTTATATAAAATAGTATATGGTGCGCTTTTTCAAAACCTTATCTAACATATTTGCAACCAATTTATCTCTTTTTTTTTATTATTGCTTCTTGTTATCTGTTTTTTGATTGCATTCTGTAGGTTCTTCGTTGAAACGAAATTCACTCGTTTCATTTCATGTAAAATAAATTTATTATGTTGTTTACACTGTTTTATAATATCATAATATTCCTCTGTGGTGTATACAGAAAATTCTTTTTTATATTATTTTTTTCTTTTTTTTCTATGGAAATTGGACTTACCACACTTTCATTATCAATGGTTACGCAACTTCTTTTACTGGCCAATTTTAAATTGGATAAACCATTGACATTTTTAAAGAAATTAAATACAAATAAGTTATAAATAGAAAGTTTACACTAAATTAAGTATAAATTACGTAATATCTCACTTCTTTTTTTAAAATGGACTTATACCACTTTCAAAATAAACGGTCCATATAAGAAAGATTACTTCGGACAATCAATCAATCAATTAATTTGTGCTACTATTTAACAGTTCATTTATATTCCCACTTTTTCAACTTAACGAATCATTTAATCGTCACATTTCAAAAAAATGCGTAAACAACAATCTATACGAATAACTTTTGCCTGTTATCAATTCTATAAGTAAATTATTCTGTTATTAAATATTTGGTCGAACCAGAGCTCCGATGAATTACTGTCTTCACAACCCAATTAAAATTCCTTGATCCATCGTTATTCATCCAATACATTCATACACTTCCCGTAATCTGCTATTCTTTACCGTAATTTCATTTTCGAGAAAAACAAATCTGCCTAATCCTGACTAAACTCGGTGAATGCTGTGTTGCTAAAAATGTGTTGCTTAACTTAACAACTAAATTCTAATATTCTCGTTTTTGCGATATAACAATTATATAAAAAATAATACTTGAGAACGATCTTTCTCGAGTGAATAATGAATAAAATATGAGAGAAGTGGAGACTGAAAAAACCGAGTTTCGTGTTGATCTGGAAAATGCTGTCAGGAAAACTTTTATCGTTAGCGAAAACTTATGTGATTTTTATTGGAAATACTAGCAAGGATGTACGTACATGGGTCCGAGAAATTCTGCAACGTTATGGGAATCTCAAGTGATTAATCAAATCTGTTGAGGTACCGGTGCCCTTGATCGGTAATACGCTTTTTATTTATCGTGAAGATGCTGTGATGTTCGTGTTCTCGATTGTTGCTGCGTTGTATTTCGGTGTTGTCGGAATCCTACGATGCGTTGGCTTCGGTTTCGTTGCTTCGTGATGTGCCGTGGAGATGCTCGTGTGCTATCTCGCTCTTATGCAGTAGTCCAGGCAACAAGAGGAGAACTTGGAAAATTTAGCTAGCCGGGCGAAATTTGATATTATGGTAATTCGACGACGCTGAATCGAATAGTGCTAATTTGTTTGCAATCAGATTTTCTGGTAATGAGAGAAAGGGTAAAAAAGGGTAAAAAAGCCATATCTTAGAATCTA